TTTCATGTCAATCCGAGATCTGGAAGTCCTCCAACTGCCACTCAGAACTGTTTAAGCAGAAAATGAATGTGACTTGACTTCCAGAGCCTGAAAAAGCTCCTCGCACTTTGAAACTATTATATATGTAGAAGCTCATTTTGTCAAGTTTTCTATTGAAAGCTTTCTCCACTTGACAGAGTGATGTGCACTATTTTCAAGCATATTCAGTCCATTTCAATAGATATTTCTCACCTTATAGCATGAGATGCCTCAACTGAGATAGCAGCTGAAAATGGTCAAAACATCACATCAGCTCTGCCTGTTTAGCAAAGTTGAAGTCTCAGCAGCCGACAAGTCCTCGTACGTTAGTGACAAAACAAGGAGGGGCGTTTTCTGACCTGTCGACCACATGGTTAATACGTCTCAGTCGTAATAAAAACCGGTTGTTTTAAGTTTGTCATACGACCAACGATGTGGGTTTTTCTCAGCTGTGTGAAGGAGTGAAGGGTATCTGATGTTAATTAACTGTTTAATGTGTGTAAGTACATTCACTGAAGGCTTAGGAAACACAGGACCACAACCTACACAAAGGATGGAGCGGGAATAGGTTTTCTTTATTCCTGTTTGTTTGATGGATTAGCTTTGCTATTTGGTGAAGGCAGAAGCGGCATTTCCATTCCACCTTTACCATCAACTTTTTCTATCAACCTATCAACGTCTCTTCGCTGTCCGCGGGGTGAAATCTGGTCAGTATCTCTGTTTTCTTGTGCAAATGATTCCATTTCAAAACATGTCACACTCTAGCAGAGAGGCTTAATGACATATTGCTTTATAGCATGGCTCTATGCACTTATCAAAATATAACAATGGCTCAAGGGAAGTGCAAAGAAGTGATTGTAAGATGTTTCCCCCAGACAACACTGAAACAATTCAGCCTTTCACTAGCGAGAGTCCTACAGGAAGCCATGAAGCCAATCACGTCTTAATGTCCTTGATTGCATCAAAGAAAACTGATGCTGCTCCGAGTGGGAATTGTCATGTTTGATTCACAACAAAAAAAGGCAGCAGCCATTGGTTCATTTCCCCCAATAGATTATAGCCTGAATTTGATGAAACACAGCAGCTAGACTATATATATTATTAAAAAAACATTGTATTCACTCAAATGGTCTGACAGGAAGCGTGTCAAGAAAAATTCAATTAAACAAATCATTTTTCTCTTGACTTTTGGGAAATCACTGTTGGTTAGCTGTGGACGGAGGATGGACGCACTTATCTGTTTTCGTGTGTCTTCTACTGCACTTGGAAAAGAAAGAAAGGGGGCTTCAAAAGATTCGGTTTTTGCACAGGAAAAAACACAGTGTGGAAAAATCTGTAAATGTAAAAGTATTCTGATGTGATGTCTGTCTTTTATTCCTAAAATCAAAGTGAAGCTGAAACTCTAACAGCACAAAAAAAGTACAGAAACAGCTTTCTGACTGTTTCCTGTTCTTCAGAAGGCTGCTATACAATCATGACCATTACATGTTCAATCACCGAAGTCTGTGGGTTTATTCTCTAGGGATGACAAACATTTCGTGTTCAAAAGCTGCTGAGATTTGTCAGTCTGGACAAAAGTGGTGGGCCGGCCAACTGACAGACGGATAATCTGATAATTTTACATATGTGAAGGAATTTTCTTCCTTTTACTGTTATTTTATGTTCTAGGCTTTACTCACAACCCAAGACAAAGGTTCCCTGTGTACCCAAGGTCATCTAGACCTCTGAACATCCTAGATATTACAGGTTTAGGGAAAAGCATAAACTTAGACAGAACCATCCAAACATAGTTGTCATAGTCAACATAGTCAAGGATGAGTGAAGTGAGGCAAAGGGCAGGACACGTGTAATATTAATTAGTCAAGAACATGTGACAATGACCAGGCTTAAATGTCCAATAGAGTCTTCACACGTATAGGTTTAGACTATCGTTTTGCTGTCTTTGTATTGCTCATTATTTTCTCCTCTGTGCCAAGCTTACAATAAATACTTCTGCCTGAGACATCTGAACTCCTGTTGATTGTCTTTTTCTCAAAAGATTTCAACCATAATATGTATATATATATATATGTATGTATGTTGATTTTATATATACTGTATAATGCACGTTCTTTCTGTACTGGAGACATTAAGTCTGAAAAGGCAAGAGAGGTGAGAACCTTTTAAATTCACGACATGGTGTATTCTGACATGTATCTGTGATACTGTACATCCAAATTAGAAATTACAATAAGCGAGGCAAAGGCTTTTGATGTTTCACACGAAAATAAAACAACAGCATTGTGTTGTTACAATGAAAATCTTCACACTTAAACACTGCTTGTGTTTCTGTGCACCACTGCTTTATTTCAGTTACTATTAATAGCTGTGAAGCACTAGACTGACAGTGCAGGCGTCAAAAACAAGCCTATACTGTACTGTGACTGACTGCAGGCAAGACGACGTTGCCTGAATGGTTTTAATCCTGTAGGTAAAATGTTTTGATGCAGGTTCGAACTCAGTTCAGTTTAGAGGGAACAGACACTGTGATGTCTCCTGCCTTTTAATAAGAGCAGAAGTCACAAGCTGATCTTCTCGCTGCTACTGATGCTTCAATTCTCCTGGCAAAGTGTAATAGAGGCATCGCTCGCTGCACGTCAAAACACAAACACTGACCTTTTTCCATCTGTGCCAGACCTACTGGGAAGAGAATATCACTCACGGATCCTTTCAGTATTTTACCCAACTAAGTCTTTTACATACGAGGCAATAGTGAAGATGAAGAAGATAAAAGGCTTTGTCTGTATGGAAAATATAGTGCCATGTTGTTTTCAGTTACAGTATGCAGGCATGCGCTCATTGCTAATTAGGCATGAAGGGAAGTGTCTCTGACACACTTCAGTGTGTTGCTCATGGGATCAGACCAAAGTCCTCAGCAAGGAGGCTACCTCACTGACTAAGAAGCTTTAATTCCATCTCTGATATCCTGCAAGCAGTTTTATAACAACAGAATTTAATTAAAATGGAAAACTCTTAGATCCAACAACCACTTATCAATGTCTGTTTTTTGTTGGTCCACTGAAGTAAATATCTAAAAAAATAGGTACTTCATTACATCATGAAATCCTGTCCAGATGTTAAGCTCACTGATTCCCAGCATTGCCCCCAACCAGTGATATTATGGTATTAATGGTATAAATGCTGCCCACTAATGAAGTGCGAACTGCGTGTCTACAAGGTCAAATGAGAAGGGTCATGATTTTATGGTATATATATATATATATATATATATATATATGTATGTACACAATACTGAGGAACAGAGACATATCATGTCATATATATACAGTGTTGCTCATGAAGTTGGAATAAAATATTTTTTACCTCTTTCCATGAAATGATTGTGACAATGTGATTTATTTAATTTCACCTGGGTAATTGGGACACATAATGTAATCATTGCACCTGGTCAAAAGTGATTACTGATGCATTTAAATAGGAATAAACAGAGGATTGTGTCTGAAAACAAAATTATTCCAACTTTATGGGCAACAGTGTATATATATGTATATATATATATATATATATATGAGTCATTGTGTCAGAGCTGTTTTATTGCAGTTTAATTTTCCAACTCTGACTGTGCATCCTGTGTAAAGTTTCTAAAAAATAAGGGGGGAAGATCTGGTTGGCTGCTGTCTTCCTATATACACTATTTGTGTAATATTCATAACACACCCACATCAGGACCGACACAACGGTAAGCAACAAATGGGAAATTCCACTATTGTTGGAGTGACAACAGAACTGGGGTTTATTGGGCTGATTTCACCACTGACAAACACGCTGCTTTTGTTCCTTGAGTCAAACCAAATACGATTCTAACCCTCGAAACTTCAGCTCAACACAAACAGACTCATCTACACTTTCGGCAGCAATTTACCTCCCTTTGCTCAGACGAGATACAATCTGCTTTATACCCATGATATTCTGTGTTTCCTGTCATTCTGATCAAAGAGCGGCGTACACCTGATAAACATATCTTATTGCTATGATTATTAACAAAGCTTTTACCTGGACAAAGAAAGCAGCAGTAACGCTCAGCACCAGACATGAATGCATTCAATAAATCTGAAAAAACGCGACTGTGTCAGTGAGTTCTGCCTCGGTCATGCTGCACCTTATTAATTCCTTAGCTTTTGTCTCCAGAAAAAAGGAAGGAATTAGCAGATAAGCCAAAGCCAAAGCAAGATCCTCGGTTGCAAAATGAAAAAAAAATGCAGCTGCTGTTCACAGGGCCAAATAAAAAAAGTTGCGTCTTTAATAGTGTCGACTTGGGTCAGTTAGTTGCTCTTATTGTTTTCTGTTTGGCTGCTGTGGAGAAAATAAGAGCAGCGCAAGCAGTCAATATCTGAGATTCCAGACTTTCCAGGTCTGCACCCACAAGAATCGAAATTAAGGAAAAGGTGCCAAATACTATATGAAGCACAAAAGGGCTTTGGGTTGTTAGGATCTGTCATGCTATTTGCACTTGATAGTGATGATAAAGGGCCTTATGATTGTTCAGCGCTTGATGTTTTTTTTGGAATCAGACAAAGGCTCTATGTTTTCAGCTTGAGCTACTGGGCCACAAAGGATTGTTATCTGCACATAATACACAAATAAGAGCCGTGTCTGAAGCTTTCTTGAAAACAGCTTGTTAAATGTGCAATGTGAAATTTGCATGAGAGTTCACCTTTTAACACCGACCCAAGGTGTGTAATCCCTTAAAATGAATTGAGGGCAGTCTGAGCCTCTCATGGCCGTTAAGAATAAAACAAAGATTCATTCCTGATTAAACAGTAGCAGATTTTACAAGAGAGGATGCTTTGACTGCTGTGTATCATGATGGATAACCTGCTGTGCCTGCATTTGGATTAGCGATCCCAAGCAGGTCAAAATGCTGCAGGCAACAGTGCACTCTCATTTGAACCACAACAGCGCGTCCTCCGGGGGGCCCTTACCCTGCATCCCTGTGGGGCCGAAGCCTTGGCGAGTGAGGAAAATTGCATGGTCGTGGTGTTCGGCATGATCAGGGTCGCCTTTCTGCTGCACAAATGCCCAGCGGCACACATTCTCCAGGCTCCGTGATGGGTTCCCCCTCTCAATGAGGCTGATGGACTGACATGAAAGAGGGAGAGAGAAAGAGAGAGAGAATTGGCTACTGATGAACCCTGACTGTGTAAATGAACACATTGATATTCTGTCAGAAGTCTGAGATTGTACAGATTGTTAATCCTGACTGGTATGAGTAGTATTCCCTGTAGACACAGATTTAACATGATGTTTCTGGGGTTAATAAGTGGAGAGCAAAAACTGAATTTCCTCTACACCATCTACAAAGCAAACATACTGCACATCACAATGTGTTGTTTATACCGCATATTACCTTCATTGTGAGTGCAAGTGTGTGAGCCTGCATTTTTACAGTGTGTGTGAAAGAGAGCGAGAGTGGCTGACCCCTGCAATCTGCATACATTTTCTTCCCTATTTAGCATCTCTGCTCCATTATTAATGGCTATGGATGTGTCACTAGCGTGCTCTGCCAGGCTGAAATAACCATTCCTCTGAAGCGATTATAAGCATGTGTCAGCAGCATGAGAACAAATGGCATCACTGCTAACAAATCTACGATATGTTTGGACTGAGTGCTGTGTGTCTGTAATTGGTATTATTCTGATTTTGCACATGCAGGACGGCAAATTATTAATAGCAGGCATGAGACAATTGGAGCAGGAGGGCATTTAAAACAGATTAAAAATAAGGTTGAAATTGAAAGTAGATGATTTATTGCTCTATAGAAGTGTTGGTTCTTTTTCTGTGCACACGGGATGATTTTGCATTTTTACCAGACTGAGGCAGAAACATTGAAGCAACTTTCTTTTTCTCTTTGTTTGCTGTTACAGCCGTTGACGAAGGGATAAATCTTCACCTCAGGGTCAAAAGCTTTGTTCCCCCACAGCAAACACAGCGAATTGGTAGGCACAGACTTTCAGTGTGGTGAGGGGGGTTAGCATTTGAGCTGCCCCAATGCAGCAACACATTCAACATGTTACCCATAAATGTTCTGCTTTATTCATGCCGACGCTCTGCCAGAGCTTCTGGAACATCCTGGTCATTGTTTAGGGAGATTTGTGCTGATAAGAGTCCGGCCAGTGGGCAGGGGAATATTCTCCTCAACATTAAGTGGTAAAATATATGAAATGTCAGCAACTGTTGTCAATGATTTCACAAAATGGGAAGTTATCGTGGATCTTCATAGGTAAAATAATCAATTAATTAATCTGTCAACTGTGACCTATGAGTACATCTGTTCTTTACAAAGCTTAAAAGTTGCTATTAATCCTTTATTAATAATATTTCCTTGTAAATGGTTTTATGAATGCAGGGCCAAAAGAGAACTGGGACAATGTTTGTTTGTCCTGTGTTAACCTCATAAACAGGTAGTTTTTGTCTGACAACAAGAGGATTAATTATTGTTCATCTATCAACCAAAAATGTCAAACATCAACTGGTTACAGCTTTCAGGTGTGAAGATTTGCTGATTTTCCCTGTCTTTCATCACTGTCATTTAAATATCTTTGGGGTTTTTGGACACAACAAGTAATCTGAACATGTCAGGAGCAGTTAGTTTCATTTTAACAGTCTGTGAACAGCAGCACTATCATAGCGTTAGCTGAAATTGTGACATCTACCATTTTGTCAAATCTGTGACAAAGCAAACAGAAGTAAGCATCTTTAATCACTGATTTTTTGATGCATCTTCCAAGATACGCTGTTTCATGTCACCTTTTTGTGAAATTTGAGATGTTAAATGAATTTTTCTGTGACCACATTAGTGCTAACCATGATACAGTAGCCATTACGCTAGGTCTCTGAGGCTAATATGTTGTAGTCTTCTGTCTACTGTTGGACTATGTGTTGTAGTTCTGATGGGGATTGTTCTTCTTTCCGTGCTGATATTAAGCTGCTACATCGCACATGTATCACACACATTCGAGCTAACTTTTATTTGCTAACTGACTCTATTTATATGTTTACTAGATTAGTGTTAATAAAAGCTACCTTTTGTCTAGTCTTTGTTTACTGTACTGCATTTTTTCTGATTTCTAACCTCCATGATTAACTGTGTTGTGTTTTTTCCAACACAGCACTTGAACACAAAGATTTTAAAGGCCAGTTTCCATCTTTAACCTTGACTTGAAGTATGTTTAGTGGTTCAGTACTGTAGCCGTGCACCTGTTTACATAGCGAGGGCAGAATTTTGATTCTGTGAAATTGTGATGGCAATTTTTTCTAAGCATTAGTTGGTTGAAATAATTCATAGATTAATCAATGATGAAAAAACTCAGTAGTTGCAGGCCTCTCATGGTGACTCAGACTTCAGTTTTCTGTCTCTCTTCTCCCACTCACTGAAAAATTGTACTCTGTGGTGCAAACGCTCTCACTGTCTGAGCTTCTGTCATTTTCAGTAATTTTCTGCATTTCAAAAGCAAGGCAGTTCAACACAAATGGAGGAACTGTGAAAACTCACCTTGGCATAACCCAGCATGATCATCCTCACCAGAACAACATTGATGTGGACGCCTAGGGACTCGTCATGGTAAATCTCATTCACCTGAGAAGCGGGGAGAAGAAGACGGGTTACATGAAGCAAAAGACCATCTGTGTGATTTCTGTGAAAAATGGAAATTAAGGATAATAGTGATAAAACACAAAGTTTGTTGTTGTAGAAAAGCTAATATTAGCAAATAAAGGTTTCTATTCAGTGGAGAAAATTTAGAGATTGTTCATTGTTTAAAATATTGTCATGCCTTTATGAATTATAATGGTTCATTTAAGAATACCATTGAGCTGCTTAAACAGGCCTCCAGTACAATGTTAGTCATTTTCTGTAAATGTTTTCTGTAAATTACACTAGATCTGGGGCAGCTGGGAAGATACACACTCTGTATCACAGTTAGGAAAAGATCTGTTGGCTACTGGGTGAAGCTGATAGAAGTAACTGAACTCAGTTGCATCGTAATGGGTCTTGCAGGTTAAGTAGATACTGGATGACTGTGGTTTGTCTCATCTCCTGACTCACACAAAAAAGTAACAGCACTCACTGGTTGAAACCAACTTTTGAACAGAGGCTGAAAGATCAGTTCCTGCAAAAGTTTAAATTCTATTTATGTAGAATTTAAACAAGAGCTTAAACAGGAGAGACATCTGTTGTGTGAAAACCAAAATTGCAGGCAGGCTACTTGTAATTTTAGCATCAGAATTCCTACAGTCATTGGAAGATACACAGGCTTAGACAGGAACCAGATGATTTGAGTTATCAAATTTTAAAGAATGTCCTTCTTTCTTTAAGTTACATTGGTTGCACTTTAGCCAGAGTGTGCGTCATTGTTTTGTCCTTAGAGTTAGCTCTGTTTGTGCTCTATACCATGTGATCATGGTCGTGAGTCACACAAATCAAGAAAAAAAAAGGTCAGTCAGAGGACTTTCAGTAGCTCACACAAATAGCATTTCTTTTGAGGCATTTGCGTCACTGATACATTACACCCCACATTTTGTTGATTCTGGTTTTCTACTTTCCACTCAGGATTGTAGGAGAGTGAGAGAAACAAACCACAAAGCCCTCATTACAAATCACTCTGTGAATGACTGTAACTACAGACCTGTGCAACCACTATTTTGTGGCCTTCTGAGAGCCACTGAATACAGGAAGGAGGAACATCTTATAAACATGTTCTTGTTCCTCATAAGACATGGTTTGCCATACCAGAAGAATTTTAAAAAGAAGTCTAAACCAGTATACAGTGCCTGCAGTTTATGCACTTATACGTTTTCAGGAAAAAGCAGTTTTTAAATATACACAGCTATGCCACAATGTGTGAAAACTAGGGTGTTTATGACGAATGCAAACACATTGTGGATACAACACGGTTGGATTTGCTTCATGGGGTTGACTCAAATGTTTTTACACAATGCGTGGAAATGCCTTTGAGATAATTGTGCCTTTACAATTATGAGAGTCTGTGGAGGAAAAAACACATGCACAGAGCTACAGAGACAGTAAGAGAGAAGCATGTGATTGTGGCTTTTTGATATTCAGGCCATCGTTGCTCCCTGCAGCCTCAAAAGTAACGCAAAGAGTCCTGGGTAAATCAGTGAGCCCGGTCAGTGAAGGACTCTCCACAGGTAGCCGGACAAGATGCTTCAATTTGAGGGAAAATATATAGCGGGCTTTTCAAGCTGTTTTTAGCAGTTGTCACTCTGTTTTACACCCCAACACTATCATCTGCCTCAGCATGGTTGCGCTACAACCGCGATTGTCAGTGGTTGAGTGATTGAGTGAGTGATGAAGTTACACTATTGGTCGGTTGGTGTCAAGCAGGCAACCTCCGAGGCTGAAAAATGAGGCCAACATGGAGCTTTCAAAATGATTTGGCGTGAACAGTTTCTATGACATCATCAGGGGGTGTTTACAAAGGATCAAATAGTGACTGGGGCATTTATTTATTTGAAATTCAGAAGGCACTATAACAGGCCTGCACAGTGAGGCAGGTCTTTATTTCTAATTCCCTCTGATTAATATATATAGAATTCCTGTTTGCCCTGTTAAAGTTACCCCATTACACATAAATACAAATATTTCCTGTTACTGTTTCAAAATAAAAGCCTTCTAGCATTTCAGTGGACAGAAGCCCTTATGCTCCTGAGACAAATCTATTATTTTTTATGATGACAGCATGTTGTGCTATAGTATTTTGGGATTATTTTTTATTAAATATGTTTTGGAATCGGCTGGCTGCATGGCGCTGTCCAAGGTACTGAAAGGGGGATTTAATTCTGGCATGTTAAATTAGCATAATGTTTTTTTTTTGTTTTTTTTGTGTATAATTGCATCCCATATGTCAGCATGAGGAAAGGACAAGGTGCAGAATTCAGGTATCTGGGACATATTAAATGCACTGATGGATTTTCTGTTTAATTAACTCTAGTTCAGTTATCTACCTGAACATGCTGATGCTTATCAAACACATACCGTATGTTCACATCAGCAGAGTAAAATTGAATGTGGTAGTAAACCAGCTGATCAATGAGTGAGTGATTTCATTTTGTTTTTATTTCATTTAAAGAGGTGCCTGTCTCTGTGCAGCTGTAGCTGTCTTATCTTCATCCTCTCTAAATTCCTACTGTGTGCAGTTAGTTAACAGTTTCAAATTTGGGGAAATACTAGCATGTAACTGTCCATAAAATCACAAAGTGACTTTTTACATTTCTGTTTGTGTATAGATTAAACAAATGAGACACAACATGTTAATTAGTGAGATTTACAGTTGCCGTTATACACTGTTGCTCATAAGGTTGGAATAAAATATTTTTTACCTCTTTCCATGAAATGATTGTGACAATGTGATTTATTCTTGACAGATAAAGTGTATATCTTCTCAAAACTTTAGTAGTCAATCTCTTCCAAAGTGATTACTGATGCATTTAAATAGGAATAAACAGAGGATTGTGTCTGAAAACTAAATTATTCCAACTTTATGGGCAACAGTATATATACTTTTGAACTTTGGACATAGCCAGGTTGGCTGTTTCCCTCTTGCTGCAAGGCTTTATGCTAAGCTAGGCCTCCCAGCCTCAGCTCCATAATCAATTAACAATAACTGAAAGTGATATAATATAATATAATATAATATAATTATTATTTGAAGAGATTCCATGTTATCACATGACAAGACAAGGACAACATGTGTTTTATTGACAGCTGACCTTTAAAAGGCCCAGTGTGTGTGGTCGCTCGTCACTCTGTATTTAGTGCTGTTGTTTTGTCACTAACTGATTGACCGTGCAATAAGCACCAATTGAATCAGTGAACGGATCAACATCTTGTCCAGACCTCTGACACATATGTAAGAGAAGACCTCATTAGCAACCAGGAGCAGTTGGACTGAAGCGACAGGCAGCGTCACAGTGGGTCTCATTTTCTTTGGGCCACTGATTCCTCACTGAGTTTATTCGCCTCATTGCACAATATGTCAGTGTTCTCCACACAGGGTAGAGGAGATGGGAAAAAATATTCCAGCAACATATTATCACATGCAAAATTCGCCTCAAATTTTCTGGGTGCGGCGGCACTGGAGGAGCTGTGAAACAAACTCCAAACTGCTGTACTACTTGAGGTCACAACTTTGGAATCCATGAAGCAACACTCTTGCTGAACATGACCCGAGCTACACATGATTTATGTTTCATTTAGAAAAAAAAGACAGATAAACGCTGCTCATCCTGAACCTGCATCCACTGGTGGGGCAGCTCTGCTCCGCTGGCAGGGGCTGCACTGTGTGCCTCCTCCTTCAGGGTGAGCTAAAATTACACCATATGTTATCTGTCTCCCACACACCGTTCTGCTTACGGTCAAAGGTTCGACGTTCTTGACACCACAGCAACTTCTTAACAGATTCCTCCATACATTTACAGTAGTACTTCCTCTTACTGTATGTGTTCATCCTCACATTTCACTTATCCAGCTCATGTTCACCGGCCCAGAGCTCAAAATGGCCACAATATATCACTGGGGAGGGAAGCGGGAAATTGATGGGGTTACCGATCAATACCACTAACTTGATTACTTCCCCAGCTGTCTGTCTCAAAACGGACTTTTTGTGTGGAATCACTTCAAGAAACTCTCAAGTGTCGCTTCATGTTGGAGCTTTGATATTAAAACTTAATAGTTAATAGAAACTGTATAGACTTGATGCTAATCTGAGCTGATAAACATGTTAATAACATATTCTATGACATGCACATACAGCAGGATTTCCCTTACATAGCACCATCTGATTCACCAACAGAATTCAGCGTTTCAGCACAGCTAAGCATCAAGGTTTGTCACTTGCTGTCTTCTCTGCTAATGAGATGCACAAGACTCGCATATAAATGAGAAGCTGCAGACACAAAACACTAAGTGTGTATATGTGAGTCGGTGTTACTGTCAGTCAGTCCTGATGTGTCCGAACTTGACAGCTGAACCCTGAAAGTGGCAAAACTGATGGAAACAGAAGCTGATGAATGAAACAAATTTCAGGAGGGTTGAGGAGATGAAAGACGTGTGGGAGAGTGCAAAAGACAATCAGAGAAAGTGAGGATGACTCCTCAACCTGAAAGAACTTAAAGATTGAAGAGTTTTAACCAAAGAAGTAAAGGATTTAACTTAATCTTTTACTTTTATGTTTTCACTAAATTAAAAGTTCTGTTCTGAAAATGGACCATGGTCCTACTTTAAAACATGCTCAATTGAAGTATTACAATAATTACCTCTTGCACTGTATGTACTGTACGATGTGCCAAAAGTACATGGACACCTCTGACCGCATGCTTTTGGCTTTCCTTTGGTTTTCCTTTACCTCCACTTGAGGGAAAGCTTATTTCTACAAGAGCAGTTTATTATATCATATTTTAGACAGATGTGGTCCTACAGTTTAGAGAATACCCTGTCCTGTTTCAACATGACAATTCCACCGTGTACAAAATGCAGTAAATAAAGAAATGGTTTTTCCCAGTTCGGTGTGGAAGAACGTGAGTAGCCTGCACAGAGCCTTCACCTCAACCCCATCCAAC